TCGATCCAGGGCTATTTTTAGCCGTCCGCAAAAAAATGCATCTTTGACAGGAAGCTCAACGTAGGGGTCGCCATTGACGTTTAAAAGAGCGGTTTGCACGGAGAGTGGCAGCACGGTCGCGTCGCAAGTAGGGCGTAATATTTCCGATACTTCCAATACACGATTACCGATGACAGCGGCGGATCTCCAGCTGCTGAACCTGTTGTGCACGAAACACACGTGTCGCGCGCGTGCGCGCGTCCTCCACTTCCGCCCGTGCAAAGAATGCACACGCCACGAATACACACAGCACGTGCAGAGCACACGGGGACAAAGATATTGCGGATTTCGAGCCCCGTTCCATATTCGCGTCACTGGGCCCACGCGTATTGTGGACACGAACGAACTAACGGGTGCAACCTCGGACGTTTTGTTCGGAAGCACAATGCGGAACCGTGCTTCTTCCGGGTTAGTCGTCCGTCGGATGAAACGCTAAAAGGAGAAAGCGAAAGGGGGACAAAACGAGGGGCGAATCGAAAACCACCCTTTCGGAAAATACCCCGTTTAATTCTACGGGATAAACTCTTTCGAGGAGTTTAATAGATCGTGGAACGATTATACTTTTAATTTGAACAGGTTTCATCGAATGTTTCTCTCTCTCTCTCTCTCTCTCTCTCTCTCTCTCTCTCTCTCTCTCTCTCTCTCTGTTTTCAACATTTCAATTTAACTTGCTTATTTGCGGATTTTTACGTACGTTTCTGTCGAAATTATTATTATCTTGATTTTCATAGATGGATTATAATGAAACGTGTATCGAGTAGATGTATACTAAAATGTGAGAATTAAATTTTCATAGATGAAGAAAGCGATAATCGCTTTCAGACTTATTGAAATAATTATTTTGTTAAGAGAAGATAAATGTTAATTATCGTTTGGAATAATTTGAAAAGGAATAAAGGTATGATACTATCAATTTATCAATGAGACATTAGAAAAAAATGAAACGTAGTATTTCTTGTGAACATCGTTCCCTCTTTTTCATCGAAAATAAAAAATCATCTATGAGACCACCCATACGATTTCATCTACACAAAAACTGCCCACGCACAAGCTACTCATTATTATACAGCGTTTAACGTGTTACGCCTTGCTGCCTTCCAATTACCCCATTGAAATGATGTAATATTTTCACGAAGCTTATTGCTGCTGACAGAAAAGCGATGCCGTTGATCGAAGGCCAATTAAAGCTTGAATCTAATACATCAGCAACATTAAAAAAAAAAAAATAAATAAATAAATGAAAAATCTGTATCATCGATATTAATGTTTCTCTTGTTAAATTCGATGTGTATTTTGATAAAAGGTATTTCTTTCATGCATTTTTATTAAATTATTAATTTATTAAATTATACTTGGTAAAAAATTTTTGATCAAACGTGATAATAATGTGGAAAATAATTATAATTTTTTTAAATGTAAATCAATCCTTAATAAGAAATAAAAAAAAAGAAAAAAAAAAAAGAAAGAAAGAAAAATGTCTCTTTATTAAGGAGATACTTTCTTCTATTATTTTGTTTTTTCGTTTTATTTTTCTCTTCATTTTATTTAATGAATTTCGTATTACGTTTGACCAGAAGCTTTTTACCAGAGACTAATTGTTCCGAAAATTAATATTTTCTTGTGCTATCAACGATCCATCAATTCAATAAGAAAAGAGGAAAAGAATAGAAAAACTATCCATCGATATTAATCTTTTTCTCGTTAAATTTGTTATAGGCCATCTTATTAGTTTCTACGATTGCCAATTGTTTCGGAAATTAGTATTTTTTTGCACCATTGACGATCCATCAATGCGATTTCATAAAATCACCCGGGTTGAGAAACAAATACACCGATCCATCATTCGCGCTTAAGAGTTGCCATTCACTGTAATTGTCGACATTTTGGACGATGGAAAAAAGTACGAAGATTTTCGGGAATCTGTTCTCAATCGCGTGCGAAACATCCCCTTTCCCTCTTCAAAATGTGATTTAGCCTACTATCCGTGTCGACGATCCATATTTACGATCCCTCAGACTGGAGAAAAAAACGTCATTTAGATACGATCACAGCTGACTCGACTGATTACAAGAATCGAGAATTAGGCTGTGAATGGATGTACGAAAATGGAGGCACGAAGGAAATCAAATGTGGCAATACATAACAAGATGGAATAAATAAGAGAATTCGTTGAATTTTTTGGTAATATATGTAAGAGTTATTACTTTTTGTGATACTTTGTATAACTTTGATAAAAAAAATAATAGTTGAACTATCAATAATATTTCTATATCATTTATACGATCATTTTTAATTATAGAAATATTTTTGAAAAATTCTATATTTATCTTGTGAAAAGATTTTCGAAGAAAAATCAAATCCTATCAAAGTGTAAAAAATTCATTATCTTCGCGATTTTTCTCGTTTTGCTTCAACCATCGGTAACCATTAATTTTCCAATATCCAATGCTTTCGAAAGAATCGATTCGTTGGACGTTCGTCCATTTATTGACATTTGATCAATTAAAAATAACTCTTTCATTTTTATATTCTCCGTTAACCTATCTTCTCTACCAATATATGCATTCTCGTTCAAAAATATATGGATATTTCTCGCACGATACATATTATTATTGTAAAAATATTTGTTAATAGATTTTATTACGAAGATCTAATAACAATTAATGATATTAAATTACATAAGCGCACAAGAAAATATCTTAGAAAAGTTGTTCAAAATTTTATTTTTAATATTGTGTTTTGAACAATTACAAAATAATTCAAATAAAAATCTATTACAAACTGATCTTTCAAAAATCAATGAAATAATATTAGCTCCATTTTTCTTTTTAATTGCATAGAGACCAATCATTTATATATATTCGACAAATTTTTAAATAATATTTTGATGATACGAAATTCTTTTATGAAAATTCATTCAAGAATCGTTTGCATTAAGTACCAAAGAAAATACAAATAAAATTTAATGAAATTCATCGATGATACAACATTCTTTTAAACAAAAGAGTTTAACGAGATTAAAGAGATATCCATTTATACGAACGAGAGATAACTGCACACAAACGCATTGGCATCATTCTAATATGTACCATTATTTACCCTACACAGCGCTGATTTCGCCCGTAGGCAATGTCACTCCGAAGCTCACGCGTTAGAGCTTTCGCAATTTCGATGCTTGGAGGGAAGTTGCCAGCTCAAACTCCCATCAGGCGCACAACTTAGGGAAGCTCGTGAGCGCGACACTGGTTGCAGAACGAGGGACCAGAAGCTTAATCAGCCGATTAATTCCGAACGCCTGCTGATGCAGCCCGCAAATCGTGGCCAAATTCAAGTATTAAGGGCTATCGGTGATCGATGACGCATAAATCTACGAGGAAATCCCTACCTCTATCCATCTTTCTTCGATCGAAGGAGCATTAAAGTATTGAATCATCAGATCTTTGGATGACGTAAATTGCTATTTTGATTGATTAATCTTTTTTTCTTTTTTTAGTTAATTGTACAAGATTTGTATTTTAATTTCCTAAAGAATTACGATATATAAGAGTAAATGTTCTAATTTAAAAAGATAAAAGAAATCTTATCTTACATCTTAAAGAAAGTTTAAAACATATCTTATAGTAAGTACATTTAAAATCCTTTAAAAACTCTATATAACTTTTATCTTGATAAAATTTTAATCAACTTTATAATTCTTCCCCTTGAAAAAATCCTAAAAAATATCTCTCTCGTTTTTTTTTTCTCTTCGAGATACAATATTACAAAATTAATTAGAGAGATGCTTTTTTTTTAATTGTTATTTTAATTGTCTCTAAATTCTATGAAATATATATTCTTTTTCCAGATGCCCAAATTACTAATTCGTTTCTTCGTCCAATTTACCTTTCATCAAAGGTTCAAACCAACGAACGAGATTCAGAGGTGCAAATCACGATAATAGATTCACGTTCGTCGTGTTATGCGTCGCATTACTACTGGGAGTAATCTGTGTTTATACAGCGGCAAGCAGTGCATAACTGATTCGTCGTGACCGGACAAATCGAGTTAAGCCTCCCTGGATTCTCACTTCTCTAGTGACAAGTACTCTATTTCCACGCTTTTGAAAAGTTTTAGTTCACTTTGCTGAAGTACACTCGAAACATTTCACGACTTTCCAAACAATGGAAAGTTTCGAAGGGAAATACACACGAGGCGACGTTAATTAAAACTTTCGAACTTGCGTTAAAGGAACGTTCCTTAAAGAAACACCCTGATTGCAAGGATAAATTAACACGATGTAATTGAACGAGAGAGATCGAAGGATTTAAAAAGAAACGTTTCTCTCTCTGTTATTTTATACGAATGGCATTTCTGAATTTCATTCCAATTCGAGAGAACGACGATAGATAGGAAATTAAGTGTACGAAGTGTTATATCAAGGGATGTGTGTGTTGATAACGTTAAATATTTAGCCTCTGAGAGGGATGCAAGCGCTAAGTGAAGCTTAACGATATTAGCCGCTGTCTGGAAGGTTCATAACGATCAGCATCAAATTACGGTGTCCCCCTGCGTTGATAAGTATTTAGTTCATCTCGAGATGCCGAAAGTACGGTTTTTAATGGCTAGACACTCGATTAAAGAAGGGAGATACCATTTACTTCGTTGGACAAGGAATTTTTAGCGTGTCATTTTCCTCGAGACGAAAAAGATTGATAGAAATTATAATTTCCCTTATGAAAATTCTTACATGTCACTTTATCAATCAATTATATTAATGCAGCAGGATTCTATTGTAATTAATCCAACAGGAAAAACATAACAGAAGTCTCTTAGATATCTTTACTACTTTTTCATTTAAAAAAACTTGAGCTTCAAATAATTGGATCAAATGACATACCGAAAATTTCAATACACCAAACGCAACGTTATCAAACGATCGCCAAACCCTCTTCGAATAAAAATCATAGACTTGCGAGACTTACCGAACAACGCAGGCGGTTCGACGTCACGCACGGAAAGACTGGAGGATGCCTGGGATCCGCTGGATTCCGTGCTCTGCATGCATCTGAGCCTCCTTTTCAGTTTCGGCATATCGAACGGCAAGTCTCTCAAATCCACGCTCGTCGCGCTCCCAGACGTGGTTGCGTCCTGTTGCATAAGCAATCGCCTTCTACGCAGCTTCGGCATGTCGAAAGGAAGATCGGAGAGCTCGGGCTCGTTGTCCACCAGATTGATGTTGTCCAATTGCGGTTTCAACAAGTGGAAACCGAACGGTTTGCACTTGATCCCGGCCCGCGACTCGATCGAGATTCCGCTGTCCGATCCTTGGATCTCCGCATCGCCCGACGACGAGGATTGCAGGGCCAAATTGATCAGATTCTTGTTCTGTGGCGTCCGCCTCTTCTTGAACGACGTGTCCATCGGCGAGGTAACCGAATTCGTGTTGCCGGTGTTCGTGTTAGTGTTGTTCGTGGCGGTCACGTTGTTCTCGATGGTCACGTTCTCCTCGGGCGAGGCTTTCTGCGAGTTGTTGTTCCGATTGTTGTCCGAGGTCTCGGACGCGGGCTCTTGGGACGATTTGTCAGAGATGGGGGAGAGTATGTGCAACTTGTTCGCGTGGTGGGTCAAGAAACCGGTCATCGAGGGTTGCTGGTGGTGGTGGTAGCAATTCGTGCCGCCACTGTCCGAGCTGTGGGAGCTGAGGCTGGTGCTGTGACGGCTCTCCGAGCTGCTCGTCGATCTGTTCCCCTCGCTGGTGCTGCTTCGTAGCGACTCCATGCTGCCGCCGCTGCTACTCGTGGCCATGCTCTCGGTGCTCGAGTAGCCCGGTCTGCGTCTGCTGGTACGCAGTTTGAATTCCAACAGGCCGACGTCCCTTCGAGGCCGTAACAGATCGCTCTCGGCCTCGTGGGGCCTCCCCTTGAACTCCATGATGGGCTTGCTCTCGCGGATCAGGCTCCTCGGTCGTTGCCTGTCCTCCCTCGGCCTCCCTTTGAACTCTAGGATCAACTCCTTGTCGAAACGTCGCCCTTGCGACGACTCGACGGTTTCTTGAGCAAAACTCTTCGGTCTACTCTTGATCTCGAGGATACTGCCCTCGCTGCTCTGCGGCGAGTCCTTCGCCCTCAACGAGGACTTGACAGGCAATCTGAGATCTTTGAGACGCGGATGGTCCGGTTGAGAGGGTAGATTGGGCGTGCTTCGTATGTTCAACAACAAGTGGTCACGATTGCCGTGGAATTTGGCGGGCAATGGTGCCGTGGATGGCGGCGACGGTGTGTAACCGCGGGCCGGTAATCTCGGCGAACCGGTCTTCTCGTCGCTCGAATTGATCTGGAGGGATTCGATGTCCTGGGACAGAGTAGAAATATTGTCTGATTGCTGCTGTTGCTGCTGCTGCTGCTGCTGAAGACGGCTCGGAATAGGTTTTGGGCGGAGAAGTACGACTTTGCGTCGATCTTTGTTGCTGTGGGATTGGCCAGCGTACGGAGCTTGCTGCTGTTGCTGTTGCTTGGACGTGTCCGTCGATGAACTCGTTCTGCTCACTGGTATCGCGCTGCTGCTTCTTATCTAATTGTCGTCAAACGATACTTATTTGTTAGGTAAGTTCATAATCGATCGAAAGTAAGTTCATCGTCATCGCGAGGGTGGATTAGTCGAAGACTGATCCGGAGAATTAATTCTGTCTAGAACGTTTCGAGTGTATTAAAGATGAATTTATACAATACGAAGGTCTAATTACGTTCTGCGAGAGAAGTATACGGTTCGACCGCAATTAAAGTCCAATTTGCGCTTGATAGGGGGGAGATTCATAGTCCGTGTTCGGGAATCCTGTTACATTTTCAGCTATATTGGACTTTAATTGGTTTTCATTAAAGACTGCCGTGCTTACTTCCCTATAATACCGGAGAACGGGGCGGGTCTGGAAAATGAATTGCAAACACAGATGTTTACGTCAAAAATAATCCCCCACTTGTACTTTTCCTTTCACAAGCGAAACAAAAAATGATGTTCAAAATATTAAATTATCATTTTCCAGAAACAACATCTTGAATCACATCTCGTTTAACTCAACAATTCTAATCGTAAATATAATTCTGAGATATGATCTATTAGATGATGATCTATTAGATCATCGATAATTCTCAATGAAATTTTATGCAAAGCATGATATCACGCGTGGAGTATTCTTTTTCCACGGAATATCTCTTCGAAATCAATTTTCAAGGGTTTAAACAATAAAATCATTCATATCGAGAAACGTTTAATTTTCGAAACAAAGTTTCCTTTCCGTTCCAGATTTTTTGACGTACCTGGGAATGCAACACGGGATGATTGGTGACCCGATCGAGATCATCGAGGTCATCGTCGGAGCGATTGACCTTGCAGTCGAAGGCCGTCTCGTAGAGGTGACGTTGCCTAGCCATCTCTTCCTCGTCTTCCTCCACCTCCACGTCCTCCTCCTCCTCTTCCTCGCCCTCGTCCTCTCCCTCCACGTCGTCCTCGTCCTCGACGAGTATCGGCTGCGGGTCTATCCTCCGTGTACGGCGTAGCTTGCGCACTTGGTGCCGCGTTAACTGCGGCTGCCGTTGATCTAGCTCATCCTCCTCTTCCTCAGCCGATGCGACGCAGGTACAAACGGTGGTCGGTAGGTCATGGCTTAACAATCTATGAGGAGGCATGAGGGTGTGATCCCACTCGGTGATGATGCACGACGAGAGGATCTCGTTTCTGGCTGGGACAGCATGCTCGCTCCCCGATGTGGGGCTCACTAGATCCTGACTCTGATAATGTTGCTGTAATTGATGTTGCTGTAGCTGCTGCTGCTGCTGCTGCTGCTGATAATGTAACGGCTGCTGTGGTTGCTGTTGCTGCTGTTGCGGTTGCTGTTGCTGGGACGAATAGGAACCCCCATCACCCGCCACCGAGTTTCTCTTCGGTATACCGGGTGTTCGAGACCGTTCACCCGGTACGTCGAGGCTCACGCTCTTTCTGTATCTGTTCGGTTGTGATTTGCTTATTTGCTCCGGTACCTTGAACAAGTCGCCGTAGTAATAGGGCGATGGGTGACGGACCGGTTGATTGGACTCGGTTGGCGATTGATCGGTGAGATGAACCAGGGCCACGCAGTCGACCAACGCCCCCTCGGTGGAGCTCAACTCTTTCTCCCTGTCTATTGATGGAGCGCGCGTCGAGGTACACGCGTACAAACTGTTCTTGCGTTTTCTGATGTCCACACGCCGACCCTCCTCGTCATCCTCGCAGGAAGAACCGGAAGCGGATGGATCTGGAAGGAGAATTCATCTTGATGAGCATAATTTATAGATACAGGCAGAGGGAAGAGAAATATACGTTAAAATATAAGTATTTTTCAATATTTGTTATATTAAATATTCATTTCTGTATCAATATACTTGCAAGATTAAATGTTTCAGGGATCATTCGACTAGTAATTTTAAAATTTCCAAACGTTTGGAGATAGAAAGAGAATATCGAGTCTCTGTGACAACGATACAACAAGAGGAAATGTTTGAGAGGATTTTAAGAAAATGATTTTCCGAAACGGCGCGGAAATTTTCATAATCGTTCTTCTTATAAGAGCATCTAGGGTTGTTGAAGATAGAGATGCTTATGGGGGAGAAGAAATTGCCACGAAATGATGGGAGGCACTCCTTAAAAATCACTTCCTCGCCTAGCGAGATATTACCGTAATGGTTTTTGGCCGGCTGACACGGCCACCATTCTTCCCTCTATCCTTTTTTCCCCCATCGTGCGTTTTCACCTTCGTTTCACCGCCATCCTCTCGTTTCCTCGAGTTTACGAGGATCGTGTCACGAGGATCGTTGGGTAAACGGAAATCGGCTCGGTGGATTGGAGGAGGCGGGAAATTACGCGGACACCCGGTATATTAGGCAAGCAACGCGCGGTACAGAAAGGACTGGAGATAATGGAGGCATTATGCTCGGCCGGAGGAGGGCTCCACCGAAATCCTTCCTCCTTTGGGGTGGTAAGTGCAAGAGGCACACCATAAACCACGCCAGAAGCTGTTTCTGACAGGAAACCACCTTCATGGATCTAGCGAAAAACTTTTCGAACGGAAGCAAAAAATTATTATTGGGATCCCTGTCTGATCTCTTGGGAAAGATGTTTAATGGGGTGTCGATTCTTTTTCCGGATTAAAATCGGGGAATGTTCTCTTGTTTTTTGTTTTAATGAAATTAAATTAATTGAAATTATCGAACAAGTATAATAATTAACAATTAAATAGATTTTTTTTTATTTTCATAGTTGATGGAAAATGTTCAGATATTTTTTTGGTAAAATTGATAATGGTTTTTGTTTTATAATACAAATAACGTTTAATTGAAAGTAAAATGTATATAATTTTAATGTAAAGAAAAAATTTCAAGTGAAAAATGTTTGACGTTTGTGGAAATAGAAAACGTTAATATATAGATACGAGATTCTTTAAAACAAAAAACATTTATGAATTTATATTTAACACAATCATTACTTATTTCCAAGCAATTTCATTATCACGAGGTTCCTGAAATTTTGTCCACCCCATTCGAATATAAAAGACCGCGGCCAAACAATGAAACGCGAAATGAGAAATTAATTCCTGAACAATGAATCTCGGAAATTATAACACGTGCCATCTCTTTCACGAAATTGCACACGTACAGCCTCGTAAAATTTCCTTGTTCTCTTCGACTTCATAATTCGTTCTAACGCGGAACAATGGAACACAGAAAAATTTTACCACATACGATTCCTTTTTTTCCGAAAAATTAATGAATTAAAAATTAATTTTCATTTCTTCATTCTTATTATATCGCGTTTTCTAATTTGCGTGTCATTATTTCTAAGCTTTTAAAAAATTTGGGATGTTTATTGGGAAATTTTTGCTGGATTTTATGTTTCTTTAACAGAATTCTTTCGAAGAAATCGAGGGATAAATATTAGAATATAGATAGTTTCATGGAGGATTAATTATTTATGCAAAATTTAGTTTTGAATGCATCCTGGAAACGTACCAGGTGGCAACAAAGGGATCACTTTGCGACCATTCGACATGTATAGTGAATTGATGTATCGTTGAAATGGCTCACGCCCAAAACATCCATCATGTTTCCGTGTCAACGACGTTAACGTTCGCATTGCACGTTGCAGGAAAACTGCGATATCGTTCCGAGTTTTGCGCGATATTGTTGTGAGAGAGCGATGCTCGTGTGAATAGCTCTTGACATTTAGAAACTTATAAAAGAAAATGGCATGGGATAATCGGAACATTGACAAATTCTTCGTTACGTTTCTATATTTTTAGAATAAATTTTTATAAACTATTTGATTTTACATGTTTAAATTATATATAAAATTCATAAAGATTTTTATAAAAAAGTCAAATATAATGATAATTTTTTATTTTCCAATTAATAAAATTTAAATTTCAAAAATTAATATTTCTCAGTAATACTTTTTCTTTTACAGGAAAAAGAAAACTCTCTCAAAGAAATCTTCACGAGAAATAATTGAATAATTTTTAAAAGGAATCCATTGGAATTATTCAAATTAAACTATTCAAAATATCAAATGAACTTATACATATAATACTTTCCATATTTAATACATGACAAAAAATTTGTTTAAAAAAATATTATCATTAAAATAACACATGCCTGATAAATGTTATACTACTATATTACTTTTGAAGATTATTCATCAATCAAATAAATAATACAACGATCTTCCATTTAATATCTATCAACAACTGCAACAAAAAAAAATAACGAGAAAAGTGATAATAATTGTGATAAAAATTGAGAAAAAAACCAAAGAATTTTTATCAAACACGCCTTCCTTCTAAAAACTCCAAATTGCAAAGTATAATTCATGTTGAAAAACGAATTCATACTAATCATTCACGAGCCGAGCACCATCTCTGACGATGAAAAGATACGAAAAAAACGCAATATCGGGACAGGGTCCGCGGTTATGCCTGAAAAATTATATTAAAGTAATATAACAGCGCGAGAGGAGAAGGGTAAACGTAAAGCAAAAATGGAAGGTAGCATGAATATGCATCCACAGCTGGTTCGTTGTATAGCTGTTCTACAAGACACTGGATCAAATCTGAGAGAGAAATAAACGTATTAAGGAAACGGCCTGCCGCTTGATTGCTTTCTAAACGAGAAATCGATATCCGTAGGGATGTATCAAAATAGAAGAAGGAGATTAAACTTGAACCCACTATGTTTTTATTAAGAATCTTTTGCCAACGACTTAGATACAAATTAAAGTGTAATCGTTTGAGAAAATATTAGGATTTGACGAATGATTTGTTTGTTTAAGATATTTGCCTTGGATGGTATTTCGTTGGTTATATCATATCTATTATTATTATGGAATTAAAAATAACAATAAGATTAAATATGAAATTTACAATTATTATAATGGTAATAATAATTTAAGGTAAATTCTTGTTAATTTCGTTATTTTTTTTCATTGGTGTATCATTGACAAATGTTGAATTATGAATGATTTATACATTTATTGACATAAATTATTAATATCTACGATAGAATTATTGATCCAAACTACCATCATGAATATTCATTGATCTATTCATTCATCTGTAGACTATTTGAATATGTTTTAGTATACCTCTATAGCACGAATCATTGATACGAATTACTTAAAGATACGCACAATTGAATTATTGACCTATTTAAAATCGCATCTATTGAATTATCTGATTAAATATGCAGGGTGACCTAAAATCAACGTAATACGCTTTTTATAATTGACTTTCATACGAGGAATGAAAATCCTTAATAAAACAATTCTATTATTATTATAAAATTCACTTATTAAAAACTCAAATATCTCAAAAATTATTCAATTTAAATTCTCCAAATATTGATTATTTTATTCTCTATTATATATATTCCATTAATTTACAAAACGTTATTTCTACTAAAACATTTATAAAAAAAAAAAAAAAAGAAAATTAAATAAAGATAATATTTAATATACACAATATATAGAGTTCCTCGCAAATCAATACTCTTTTCTATCGAAATAAAAAATAAAAACTATCGAAATGAATCGAAATTCCACGAAAATTCTAATCCAAAACGATCGTCCATCGTCGAAAGTTCGTTTGAAGTCGTTCAAAGCGCGATTAGTTGGTGTCGCACGTGCACCATTTTCAATCATCCCCTATCGGGGATCAGCCGAAGGACGCACACGCGAGGGGGATGGATGTACGTACACACACGTTACCCTGGCGTAACGCCAAATTGCACCGATATTGATTACCGATCGATAATCAGATTTGCGAGTTATCCGCAGACTGCAGCAAGGGGCAGAGAAATAACGGGACGAGTCGTTGAATGACCGAATGAATTATGAAGTAAAGCGGCCATCGAGGACGTGCCACACGATTCGTATAATATATCGCGCGTATCTGTGGAAACGCAAGGACAGTCCCACGAAGAGGACCTGTGGATAACAGCGATACGTGAGAGGTCGCTTCACTGCTTAACGAGTGATGTATCGCTTGCGGGAAAACCGATGCGTAAATACGTGAGATGCCAAGGTGCATTATGAGATGAGTTATTGAATACACGAAGGGAAAATCGGCGAAGTCGGTGGATATTGTTGTATGCGGTTTTGGGATGTTTGATGATCTGAATTGAGAAGCTTTCTGGAAAAGCTTACTTTGAATCTGTCAGAGAACGGGTAATTTTAGATTCGTAAAGTTTCTTTTATTTCAACATGATTTTTCTCTCTTTTTCTCCTTTAATATTATTTTTTAATTTTCAGAAATGATGAGAATAGAGATTCGAAGTTAATAATACATTGGCAGATTAATGAACAATGGTGATTGATTATTAATCATTGATATATACCGAATTATGAATTATGAATTATTCGATTGAATATATTTTTGTATATCTCGTTGACACGAGCTACTTGATGATATCCACGATAGAATTATTGACTCAAACTACTTAAACTCACATCGATACAATTAAAAATTATTTTTTCCTGATCCAGAATCATCGTTTCCTCCATTCAAAAAACCTACAAACTTTATATTAAAATTAAACTTCGCCTATTATTTTCTTCCAATACTAATTTTCTTTTCCTTAATCATATACTACATTACAATTGCAATACAAATACAATACAAATATCACAACAATTCCTAAAAACATACATATTCTCACACATCTACCCCTCAAAAATGATTTGCACAGAGTACACGTGAGATACGTAATC